TGCAGCGACTTCAAAGTAGTTCATGCACTACTCTGGTATGACTTTCATGCAACTTGAGTGCCATATACTTTAATGTAAACCCTTAAAAGTCGTATGAAAGTTGCATACATGCATACATACTCCAAAATCATACAAGTGTGAATGGAACCTCACTCTGATTGTGTTTTATGGTGTGTATTCTTACAAGTTTGTCTTTCTACGACATTACTAACTTCAGACTGAATCACTCCAAAGGAGACAAGACCTTTGTATTATTCCATGTATAGACAGACTTAACACATTGCCATTCTGTGAATCATACGAGGTGTGTGTTAGTTTTAAAGCCATACCAAGTGATCTGTAGGGTAGACAAACATCCTTTTCTCCTTGGATTGTACTTCTTCAGTTCCTTTTATCGGGAGGCAGGACTGAGGTACAGGATTTACTTAGCGTGATATTAAAGATTTGGATATACACTATATTGCCATAAGTATTGGGACGCCTGCCTTTACACGCACTTAGATGAACTTTAATGGCATCCCAGTCTCAGACCGTAGGGTTCAATATTGAGTTGGCCCACCCTTTGCAGCTATAACAGCTTCAACTCTTCTGGGAAGACTGTCCACAAGGTTTAGGAGTGTGTCTATGGGAATGTTTGACCATTCTTCCAGAAGCGCATTTGTGAGGTCAGGCACTGATGTCGGACGAGAAGACCTGGATCACAATCTCCGCTCTAATTCATCCCAAAGGTGTTCTATCAGGTTGAGGTCAGGACTCTGTGCAGGCCAGTCAGGTTCCTCCACCCCAAACTCGCTCATCCATGTCTTTATGGCCCTTGCTTTGTGCACAGTTGCACAGTCATGTTGGAACAGGAAGGGGACATCCCCAAACTGTTCCCACAAAGTTGGAGGCAAATGTCTTGCTATGACGCCTTAAGAGTTCCCTTCACTGGAACTAAGTGGTCAAGCCCAACCCCTGAAAAAAAAAACCCCACACCATAATCTCCCCTCCACCAAACGTTACACTTGTCACAATGCACTCAGGCAAGTACCATTCTGGCAACCGCCAAACCCAGACACATCCATCGGATTCCCAGACAAAGCGTGATTCGTCACTCCAGAGAACACATCTCCACTGCTCTAGAGTCCAGTGGCGGCATGCTTTACACCACTACATCTGACGCTTTGCATTGCACTTGGTGATGTAAGGCTTGGATGCAGCTGCTCAGCCATTGAAACCCATTCCATGAGCTCTCTACACACTGTTATTGTGCTAATCTGAAGGCCACATGAAGTTTGGAGGTCTTTAGCTCTTGACTCTGCAGACAGTTGGGGACTTCTGTGCACTGTGCGCTTCAGCATGCGCCGACCCCTCTGTCATTTTATGTAGCCGTAAATTCACTGAGCTCCTGAGAGTGACACATTCTTTGACAAATGTTTGTAGAAGCAGTCTGCATACCTAGGTGCTTGATTTTATACACCTGTGGTCATGGAGGTGATCGGAACAGCTGAATCCAATGATTTGGAGGGGTGTCCAAATATTTTTGGCAATATAGTGCATATATTGTTTTTTTAGAACAAACATGTCATACTTACCTGCTCTTTGCAGGGTCCCCCGTGGTCACTCTTGGCTCCTCCTCCTGCTGAGTGCCCTCAGCGCAACCTGCTTGTTTTGGGGGCACTAGTGTGTACTCGCTCCCGAGCCCCGCCGTCTTATAGACACTTAGAGTGTTGCTTGGCCTCTTCCCCAGCTCCCTTCTCACAGACTGTGATTGACAGCAGTGGAAGCTAATGGCTTCTCGTGCCAGTACTGGATCAAGATGAGGCTCAGGTTAGTATAAGGAAGGGGCTGCACACAGATTTTATTTTTTTACCTTCATGCATTGAAAGTCCTGCCCAGCTATCAATTTGCTATAGTCCAGGCAGGATGTGGTTAAAAGGTAACTCCACTTATGTTGAGAAAAAAACATTCCCCTCTAGGTGATCTATGTACATTGCAAGTTTACCAAACTTAGTTGCAGATTCCTACCTTTTGTTATTGTGAAGAAATAGTTGTTTGTCTGTCTGTGTCCATGTGCATCTGTATGGGAGTGACTTTATAATTATCAGTCAGCTGCTGCATCTACAGGGCTCTATTGAGGAAATTGACAGGGTCTGCATCCCTTTAGATGCAGTATTTCACAGTATTTCACAAAAATTATATTTTCTTTCAGTGGATGCTCAAACTCTGACTTGTATGTTAGTTCAGAATTCTGGGAAAATCAGTAAGCCAGTCACACAAGCTGGAAATCACATTTCTGGGGAGCGATCTGTACACCATATCTGTACAGAACGCCTCCAGGTAGCCATATTGCATTACTAGATAAAAAGAACCTGTCAGCGCAATCAAAAGGTAAATTCCAGACTGTAGCGATTGCAAGCTAAACACTAAAGGTACAATCCACAATACCCCACTGCAAATAATGAAAATAGTGTAGTGCAATAGCTATATGAAAAAAGTTCATAAATCGCTGCATATCAACAAGAGCATCCAAAGAGAATCCTGTGATTCGCAGTGCGTCATGACACCACCAAAGGAAATCAAGGCCACTCACCTTACTGACATGACCCCTGAATCAACAGAAAGGTCATATCAAACTTTTTTCTTAGAGGTCAACCTACATGTGAGATCTTCACCCTCCTCCGAATGGTAGCGATGTGTCCATCAAAATATGCAATCATAAAATCAAGACAGACATAGTGCTCTAATGATTGCCAAAATTTATTAAGATATATAAAAAAATAGCACTTATACAAAGCAGCACATAAATAGCATGCGGCATAACAGCCGATCCGAAGAAAGTCGCGGGTGAAGTCAAAGGTGTGGCCACATTGATATACAGCGATTTAGGAACTTTTTTATATAGCTATTGCGGTACACTTTATATTTTTTTTTATTAGCTATATTGCATTGCATTTTACAGAAACTTACAGTGCTGCAGATTAAAAAGGAAATGTAATTTTAATAACAATTATAATATATAGTATAATATACATATAATATAATAATATGCTCGTCTCCAGGACTTCTCCAGAGCTTCCCCTATCCTCCAGAACTCTCTACCCCAATTTATCAGACTATCGCCTACTTTGCTCACTTTTAGGTGATCTCTGAAAACCTATCTCTTCAGGGAAGCCTATCCTGCCTTCAGCTATTAATGGAATCTTCTACTCTTCCAACCAGTCCGTCCCCCACAGTTACTACCTTTTGTACCACTAGCCCCTCCCTCCTAGATTGTGAGCTCCAAGGAGCAGGGCCATCCTATCCCTCTTGTATTGAACTCTGCCCCAAATTACATCACCAATCTTATCTCTAAATATCACCCAAACCGTACTCTCCGCTCCTCACAAGACCTCCTACACTCTAGCTCCCTTGTCTCCTCCTCCCATGCTTGTCTCCAGGACTTCCCCAGAGCCTCCCCCATCCTCTGGAATGCTCTACCCCAATCTATTTGACTATCGCTTACTCTGCCCACTTTTAGGCAATTTCTGAAAACCTCTCTTCAGTGAAGCCTATCCTGCCCTCAGCTAATAATGGAATCTTCTACTCTTCCAACCAGTCCATCCCCCACAGTTACTACCTTTTGTACCACTAGCCCCTCCCTCCTAGATTGTAAGCTCCAAGGAGCAGGGCCCTCCAATCCCTCTTGTATTGAACTGTATTGTTGTTGTATTGTCTCCCGTTATATTGTAAAGCACTGAGAAAACTGTTGGCGCTATATAAATCCTGTATAATAATAATAATATGATTTGAGTCCCAATTGTATACTCTATATTATTTTTTCCCACAAAAGTGGAGTTACCTTTTAAAAATTATGTTACCCCAACAACAGTTCATCATCACAGGAGTGAGCTGTCACACTCTGAACTCAGTGCTACTGCATCAGAGGGGAGAGAGCGTGCAGGTGAGGAGGTTTGATGAATCAGAGAAAGAGCTCTCTCCTGTGATTGTGAATGGTAATAGCTGGGCCTTTCTTAGCAACGTCCTAGCAACGTCCTGGGGGTTTTCCAGTCAGGCTTCATCAGGTACATATATGATCTACTCCTATAACAGGGGCATTATTCAATTTTGGTGAAGGATGCACAGCTCATTTTCATCTACATGCATCCCTTATCTGCATAGGCAGCTTTTTGGTAAACGCATTTCAAGTTTCAATACTACATTTGTATCTACTAAAAACAGAGGTATTTCTGGATATTTCATATACTATATGTGTGAACAAAGCCTTCTTGATGAGACCTTGCACGTCCAGCTCATCGTATTGTGTACACAAGATGAGCAGAAATACTTTCATACATGAGTATGGCAATGTCAGCGGTTTTATGTTTATTACACAGAACTATTACAAATATGGTATTTATGGGCCGTAATCAGAATAGTTTGTCTTGGTGATAACTTTTGTACATTGACTGAGAATAAAAAATGGATGCATGCCATGAATCACACAGATACCATGTTTTATTTTATTTTTACAGACTGGCTTCAAAGATTTGGCTCACTTACACTTTTGGGGAGTGGGGTTAAAAACGCATGTTTTTACCGCCCCTCAATCACCCCCTCCCCCTTTATCTGCAATGGCAGTAGATGGGGTGTTCATATACCGGGTTTACTTTGCTTTGCACACGTGGAAAACATTATCGCCCCTTTTGCATTCTGCGAGCATTGCTGCCGCTGAACACAACCCATTCAAGTGAATGGAGACAAGCTGGAATTCCTCATGCCATGAGCTGCATGTTGGTGCAGCATTTTCAAAGCTAAAACTGGTAGTGAGGATGTGTCATAACACCACTTCTCCAGCTGTCAAATGCCTCTGAAAAGCGATTTGAATGAGGATTGCTTTTCAGAGGTATGGCAACTTAGCTGCACATCTAAATTTAGCCTTATTGTTACCATTCAGTTTTTCCACAGCACCATTCAGACAAGGAGATGGAGGGGCACCATTCATTGCCAATCAGGTGTGCTGCATGCAGGGACGGACTGACCATTTGGAAACTCGGGCACTGCCCGAGGGCCCGGGGTCAGTAGGGGGCCCCATGAGATGCCCCTGGTACCTTTTTCATAGGCTTTTTTGAGTTTGGGCAAGGACACAGGGACCCCATGACCCCTATTGCCCGGGGGCCCCATGAGTTGTCAGTCCGGCCCTGGCTGCATGCCCATGTGCTGCCAGGAACAAACCAGTAAGGGGGAGAGCCGTTTGAGCATAGGTGTGATTTGATAGGCTGGGGGTGAGAGGTTACCTAGCCATATTGTCTAACTGCAATAGCGAACAGGTCAGGCCACCAGCCTGGCTGTACTAACTAGCAGGGCTGTGTAAATCTTAGGACTGGTTGGACACAAATCCAGGTTTGAAGGAGAAATGTCTCCCATGTATGTATGTCACATTTGTATTTAGGCGTTTGCCTGGAGTTCTGCTTTAAATTAAAGAAAGCTTCCTATAACAGCATTAGTCCTCCTATTTTAGGATGGTACAATGTATTCCTCATAAATCACCACTTTCTGTCACTGTGAGGCTACTGTGAAATAAAAAAAGAAAAACAGGAAAACTTAGTGTTTATTCATTCCCACCACAAAACACACAAAATCTATATGTGGCTTGACACACATTAAAGCATGCTGGAAGGTGTTTTTATTGTCTTGCTCTGCATTTTACTGCACATTTGGCTGCATTAGTAAATGAATACTTTTTGCATTTTGATAGGTGTATTGTGTTGTGCATTGACATGCATTGATGTGCATTATGATGCATACAAATGCAGGGTATCTACTTGTTTGGTGTGAACAAGGCACATGGCCATCGTTTGTTTTCAGTGTCCCTTGTATCCGGCCTGCCATGATCAGCACAGGTCAACTCAGCTGGTGCAACAAAGGCCTTAAAAGAAAAAGAAATAAATATAGTGAATGTCTGACAATAGATGTAAAAATCTCCCACTGATAGGAAAGTACAAAAACTTAAGTCAGTGAATTTTCAGGCATTTTTGCTATAGTGATCCACACAATTTTTTTTTTCTCTAAATCCACTTTTGCTGCTCATTGGCTGCAGATTTTCTTTGCTTTCCTTGAAAAACGACCTAACATTTTTCTGACTGTCTTCCCTTGCAATTGCCCTCTGCGTTGTCATTTCCTATCAACTCTGTAAATGGCAGTAGGGCTAAGTTTAGGCTAGTGGCTAAATTGCTGTGCCTCTGAAAGGCTATTCACATTTGGGTTGCTTTTCAGAGGTGTTTAGCAGGCAGTGAGTAGCAGATATGATTCCTTCTCACCGCCTCCTTTAACCTCGTAACTCATGCACTGCAGCTATGTGTGGGGGGACAATTTTTGCCTCAGGTTCAAAACAAAGCATTGCAACTACTGCATGTGAACCCTCCCCCCTCCCTTTTGCTGCCCTTACATCTTAAGAGGGGTGGTTGGGGATGCTAAAAGCATGACTTAGCCATATGTTTTTAATGCCCCCCAACCATAAGTCTGCACAAGCCCTAGCTGTGGCAAATCTAGACAAGTGAATGTTCCCAGATTTCCCCAATTGTTATACAGAGTACCCCTTTGTGTTCAATTTACCGCCAGTTATGTGTTGAAATCTCAGTACAAAATACAGCAAAATGGATACTAACCTGCCTGGAGTTTGCATGTTCTCCCTGTGCCTGCGTAGGTTTCCTCCGGGTACTCCAGTTTCCTCACACACCCCAAAGACATGCTGGTAGGTTAATTGGATCCCTGTCTAAATTGTTACTAGTATGTGTATGTATGAATGTAAGTTAGGGACCTTAGATTGTACACCCCTTGAGGGTTAGGGAATGATGTGAATGTACAACATATATGTAAAGCGCTGTGTAAATTGACAGCGCTATATAAGTACCTGAAATAAATAAAATAAATAAATCTAAGGGTGGCCATACATGTAACAATCTGATTGATAATTTGATCAAATCTTCGAATTATCAATAAGACGCACACTGTGTCATTGATCGATTCTGAGCAAAAATGATCAATTTTATCAAAATTTCTCAAGATGATCCAATGATAGGAAAGTAGATAGATCGATGTAATCGTCTAAGTGTATGGCACATTGAACAATCTTTTTGATCATATTTTTATTTGACAGCAAATTAAATGGCAGTACAATTGCATGTAAAATCATTTTGTCTATGGCCTCCATGACCATCTCGTTCTGCGGGAGGAGAACCTTTCACACCTTCGTCACAATAGGTAGAAGAATAGAAGTGCAGCCCAGCCCAGGCTGTGTCTCCCAGGCATGATGTTTGCTTCTGAGGTTTCAGCACTTTCCATGGGAGAGTAGAAGAGCGCAGGCCCCTCCTCGCTCCATGACATCAGGGACCTTTGCACTCCCACTCCTCTCACTTCCCGACATGCACTGACAGTTGGCTGTCTGGATGAGGAGCAGGCTGCGGGAGAGCTCTACCTTGGAGTTAACCCCCCTCATTGCCTTACAAAGGACCATTTTGTTTTGCTGATTTGGGTTTGCGGCCTCTGGAAGGGAGCTGAGCAGTTCTGTTTCAAGAAAGGTACAGTGCTTGCTTACAGCCAAACATCTTGTAGAGTTTAGGAGCTGAAGGTCTGATGATTGGGAAATCCTTTCATTGCTGAGCTCTGAGACTGCTCAGCATATTCAAGAATGAAAGGGGCTGAATTACAAGTTTAGAGCATTGTTGTAATTCATTTTATACATTGTTAGAAACACTAAATATTGTTAGGATTATTTTTATACATTGTTAGAAACACTAAATATTGTTAGGATTATTTTTTATACATTGTTAGAAACACTAAACATTGGTAGGATTATTTTATATATTGTTAGAAACACTAAATATTGTTAGGATTATTTTATACATTGTTAGAAACACTAAATATTGTTAGGATTATTTTATACATTGTTAGAAACACTAAACATTGGTAGGAAATATTTTATACATTGTTAGAAACACTAAACATTGCTATGATTATTTTATACATTGCTAGAAACACTAAATATTGTTAGGATTATTTTATACATTGTTAGAAACACTAAACATTGCTATGATTATTTTATACATTGTTAGAAACACTAAACATTGCTATGATTATTTTATACATTGTTAGAAACACTAAACATTGGTATGATTATTTTATACATTGCTAGAAACACTAAACATTGCTATGATTATTTTATACATTGCTAGAAACACTAAACATTGCTATGATTATTTTATACATTGTTAGAAACACTAAATATTGTTAGGATTATTTTATACATTGTTAGAAACACTAAACATTGCTATGATTATTTTATACATTGCTAGAAACACTAAATATTGTTAGGATTATTTTATACATTGTTAGAAACATTAAATATTGGTATGAGTTTTTTTGTACATTGTTTGAAACATTAAATATTGGTATAATTATTTTTATACATTGTTAGAAACATTAAATATTGGTATGAACTTTTTTATACATTGTTAGAAACATAAACTTTGATAGAAAGAGTGACAGCAGAAAACAGAGCAGGTGGTCCATGGTGTCAGCCCTGGTCTCTTTTGTCTGATTATAGATCTGTGTTTGAATCCACGTACTGTTGACTGGCTCACTACCTCTGGTGAAAGTCTGGTCCGATTTATCAAGTACTCTTTTAGTAAAATAATATTTTATAAGATCACTTTTGAGCTTTTCTCTTGCTAGTTTGAGGTCATGTTCTGTGCTCTTGATCTTCACTTCTTATTGAAGATCCTGCCATCCTGACCCTTATTAACACCTGTAATGTAAAGGTCTCTATCATGGCCTCCCTTCCCTTTGTTATAAACTTTAAATGTTGGACATGTGAAAAGAAAATCTAAAACTCGTAGGCTTTTAACATGGTTGATGGTTGAAAGCTGAATTGTAGTTTTACACAGTGACAAGGTACAGGTGAATTCACATTTAACCCTTTCATTCACATTGAACCTTCTCTGATTCCTGCAGTACAGGTGAACAACCCTTTAATTCACATTTGACCCTTTCCGATTCCTGTAGTAAAGGTAATTTCACATTTGACCCCTTCCAGTTCCTGTAGTACAGGTAAATTCACATTTAACCCTCTCCAATTCCTGTAGTACAGGTAAATTCACATTTAACCCTATCCGATTCCTCTAGTACAGGTAATTTCACATTTAACCCTATCCGATTCCTCTAGTACAGGTAAATTCACATTTAACCCTCTCCAATTCCTGTAGTACAGGTAAATTCACATTTAACCCTATCCGATTCCTGTAGTACAGGCAAATTCACATTTAACCCTATCCGATTCCTCTAGTATAGGTAAATTCACATTTAACCCTCTCCAATTCCTGTAGTACAGGTAATTTCACATTTAACCCTATCTGATTCCTGTAGTACAGACAAATTCACATTTAACCCTATCCGATTCCTCTAGTACAGGTAAATTCACATTTAACCCTCTCCAATTCCTGTAGTACAGGTAAATTCACATTTAACCCTATCTGATTCCTGTAGTACAGGCAAATTCACATTTAACCCTTTCCGAGTCCTGTAGTACAGGTAAATTCACATTTAACCCTCTCCAATTCCTGTAGTACAGGCAAATTCACATTTAACCATTTCCGATTCCTGTAGTACAGGCAAATTCACATTTAACCCTTTCCAATTCCTGTAGTACAGGCAAATTCACATTTAACCATTTCCGATTCCTGTAGTACAGGTGAATTCACGTTTAACCCTTTCTGATCCCTGTAGTATAGGTGAAGTCAAATTCAACACTATCTGATTCTCGTATAGGTGAAGTCACATTGAGCCCTGGTTCACACCAATGCAGTTTGTCATGCGTTTTGACAGTTCAAAATTGCCCCATTTGTGGCAATGAAACCGTTCAAATTGTTGAAACTCAAGTCACACAGACTTTAAAAAGTTTCCTGCATTACTTTTCTGTGATGTCAGTGCGACTTTCATTGACTTCTGTTAAATGAATTTGCAAGCTGCAATGAAACTGAACATCTGAATCGCACTGACCTGTGGTTTTGAAATTGCACTGAACCCCGTCTGATTCCTCTAGTACAGGTGAATT